CGTAACATTTTAAAGTCAGTTTTGCGAGTACCATCACTACATTCCATCTTCTGTTTGTTTCTGCACCCTGGATTGGCAGCCGCTTTTAGGTAGCATTTTTCTATCTCTTTTGAACAGTGACAGGATTTGCTACCACAGGATAATCTAGAAGCCAACCAATGTGAACAATTTTAAATTGCCATACTCTCTTATCTACCTTTGCAGTCAACATTAAGTCCTTTCCTCTGGCATAGGGAGTTACACCAGTGACTTTCAGAAAATCGCAGCTGTGGTATGGGAGGTGTGAGATGAAATGGGTGGGCTGCATGAACGAGCTTCAACAATCCCAACAGTTGGACACGACTAGCATGTAGGACTGCAGCTCATTCATTTAGGGCTTTGCTGGTTATACCCAGGTCTTCCAGGGGGTGTGGCGGCATTCAAGAGCTTAACTACCCTTGATCAAAAATACTTCCAATCCTGTGAAATCATGTTGCTCTTCATAAACAAATCACACCCTGGCCATTTTCAGTGTAGCAGACATCCCTAAATTCAACATGCTGAGTTATGTTCAAGGTGAATCAAGGGAAAAAAAATCTCCTTATAAGAAGTGCTGGCTGGAGAGGACCTTTCCAAGAGGGAGCTGTCCTGGAGCAAATAGGCTTGCACAAAAGCCATGTTCTTGCTGGAGCTGTACTGATTTGCAGTTTTATCTCTCAAGGATTTAAGTTCCTTGAAAACAGGATGTTTGTCTTTGCCTCTTTGTGGCTGTGCAGCCTCTTACAATGCCTCGCTCATGGGGGCCCTGTATTTACCAAAGGACTGAAAAGAAGTGTGTGCTTTGTAATTCCTTAGTAACCAGTCCTCTTTGTTTTAGGGGATAGAGCATAATAGAGAACTAAGTGATTTTTCTCATTGTTCTTTTCTTTGACTTTGCCTGTTTTTGTTGGCCATATTCACTGTTCATCATGACTTCCTTTCTATGCAAGCTAAATTAATCTGTTTGCTTCTTTTTCCCAAATGATGACTGAATTCATTATCATTGTGTGACTAATGGTTAGAAAATGAAATATTGCTTTTGTATTATAACCAAGTAATTTTTACATGGTCACTGTAGTTTAGATTGAAATAGATAGCTTCTTCTTGATATTATGCATCCATACAGATGCACAAACTTGTATCTTAGGTGACTATTTTTAAAGTTTTTTATAAAAACAAAAGACAGTGTTTCTCCCAAAATAAGACAAAGAAATTAGTCTATTAGAAATTATTAAATGTATAATTGAATGTAAAACATAGATACCTGATAGTATGTATGTGTGCTCAATATACTTATATATGTAAGCAATTGAGATTAATTTAAAGGAATACTTCCATTACCGA